AAGGAGACATCAGAATTCCAAATGATTTGATTGTGGCAGAATGGGCCATCTGCAAAGAAATTTTAGACACAACCTCCTGGAAATAATGCTGCTTCTGGGAAAGATCCAAAAAAGGCCACAACATTCTGGACTATGTAGGAGATGCAGCAAGTTTGACATTGAACCAATGAATGTAGATCAGCAAGAAAAAAAGGCAACACTTTACCATCAGGAAACTACTTGGGGGGGCCTCACCCAGTCCCCAAGTGTTGTTTCAGACAAGGCCAGGGCTGTTTATTGGACCTCAAAGACAATTTTTGTTGCATACAGTATTACAGCGGAGGCATAATTATTTTATTTCAAAGGCATCTACTGATTGTATGAAGTTATTATACTGGTTAATATTCTTCTGTATTTAAATTAGAAACAATCCTATTTTCCATATCAATCAGAGTTCCCTATATCTGCCAACCACCTACATCAACCCCCATTTCCTCCCCAATCCCCTCCACAGGGAGAGTGAGGCCTTCCATGGGGGAATCATCAAAGTCTGTCACGTCATTTGGGGCAGTCCCTAGGCCATTCCCAGTGTATCTAGGCTGAGAGAGTATCCCTCTGTGTGGAATGGGATTCAAAAGTCCATTCGTACACTAGGGATAAATACTGATCAACTACCAGAGGCTTCATAGTCTTCCCAGGCCTCCTAACTGGCACCCACATTCAGGACAGGCCTCATGTCTCATGTGGTCCAGTCATTCCAAGTCACTGTGAAGGACCATCCTGTCCCTGGTCATTGCTTAAAGTGTGTCAATGTCCCAGTGTCTCCAGGTGAGGAGGTAACCTTGCAGTGATAGGTACAAACCCTGCTACATTCTCCTTTTTTTCCAAACAGAACCACATCCAAAGCTCAACCCTACCAGACAGAATTCATTATGTGAACCTGAGCATAACAATAATCATGTCAAACAAAATAAAATCCAGTAGTCTCAGTCCAAACCTATTGTTTATGAAGTCTTCAACATCTTATTTCAGGCTGAAATAGAGGAACTGAGACTGTATGGGTTCAGCTTCCTTTTGTGAGGTGTCAGCTAAAAATGCAGGCTGCCTGAAAATTTTGGGATAAGACCATAAGAGACTATGTATCATTGACCCTTGAATCTCCTAAAGAGATAGCACACTTATAGCACTCTCTCCTCACATTACAGCCTGGTTTGTCTCCACAAGAATTATATGTAAAGATGGCAAAGATAAGGGAGTGTCACATACGTCATGCTTGGGATCTATGGTTAGTGACAGCCAGCCATGCCATCACGAGACTGTTAGTTGGAAGCCCACTGGCTTGCCATCTGCTCTCTTTCATGACTCTGTGTTTCTCTGTCTCTCTGTCTCACTCTCTCTTTCTTTCTCTCTCTCTCACACACATAAACACACACACAGAGACAGAGACAGATAGAGACAGAGACAGAGATAGAGATAGAGATAGAGATAGAGAAAGAGATAGAGATAGAGATAGAGACAGACAGACAGGCCTGAGGCCCTGGGTGGACATTTATTTACCTTGGGGACATTTAGGTACCTTGAGTCAATGATGACCATCCCTAACCTCTGTAACTTCTTTGTCCACCGCCACAGCATCAGTGAACAAGGATTACACAGTGGAGAATCTCATCAGGATGGGGATTGCTGTCCTGGTCCTCATAGTCCTTGGGATTCTGGTCTTAGAGGCTTGGGGCAGCCAGAGCCAGGCCCACCATGTAGCTGAGAAGTAATCAGAAGAGAAATAAGTACATATCTCAAGGTTCCAGAATCTGGAAAATGAATCTTATGATCCAACTTTCTGTAAGATTTCCAGTTCTTACATTGAGGAAATGGTATAGGAGAAGATGCAAGGAGCAATTGTGATTTGGGTGAAGAGCCAGGTGTGAGTGTTGCAATGAGATTCTTCATCAGCAAATGAATTTAGATCCTTTCATCTACTGTGGCCATTTGCAGATGAACCAACTCTTTCTTGGGTCTGTAAAGTGAGGAATATGCTACCCAGTATGTCTGGCTTGGGTCCTCATTGCTGTACATTTTCCTTTTCCATCCCTCTCATGTTTCATTTTCCATTTTTATAAATTGCTACACTCTTTATAGCAGGGGCTATATCTGTTGAATGGAAACAGAGAAGTTGCCTGGAAACAAAAATGATGACTAAAGTCAGAGCCCAGAATTAAATCTATCTGCCTAGGATGCCCCCAAACCCTTTCTATGTACTTTCAATCTTTTAGTCTACAATAGGTATTATTCATGGAGTCTCTCTTGAAATATAAAGCCAGTGTTACCACTATGGTTGAATAAGGTAGAGTGGACTTAACTTTAAAATTTTCTCAACACAATGTCCCTATGTGACACTTTCTGACCACTCTATATAACCCCATCAAACACACCTTCACACAGCAATGCAACATCACAGGTCTCAGGTGCGCAGTGTTATATGAAATTGATGTGTTTTCCATTTCATTCTCCACTGTCTAATTTTCATACATGCAAAAGAAGTTGGCATGCTAATCAATAATCTCGGAATCCCCTTGCTAGGATGACTTGTCATACAATGATTTAGAGTTTCTGCGTAGACAATCACATTTTCTTAACACAATGCTATTTATTTCATTCTCATTTTTGACTATACTTGAAATGCTCTTTGACTTTGCCTCTGTTTATGTATTCGATAAGTGTTCAAGTAAAAGGTTGAAAATGTGTGAAAAGAGGGGTGACTGTTTCATTCTTCAGGATTTAATGCAAAATTTCTGCTTTCTCACCATTCAGTGTGATGCTAATTTTGGTATTTTAGTACATGAACGTATTGTGACTTTGGAGGTCCTCTGTTCCTAATTTCTGGTGAGTGTCCATTGTGAATGTCTGTGGGACATGAACAAATACTAACTCTTTTTCAAAAATTATCTCTATTATGTATTTTTCAATTGTAATCTTGCTTTCTATCATCAATACGAGAAGATTTTTGAATGTTTAATGGCATTTACATGAGAGAATAAATTCTACTCTTTAAGGAAGTTTTCTTTTTATTTTATGATATGATCTCATGGTTAACAGCAAGATATAGCTTGAAGAATCACATTACATAGCAGCAATAGATTTTGCTCCCCTGAGCTATAGTGCTGAGAGTATTAAGACAGGATCTACAGTGTCATATCAGGATCTGTGGTCCTGAATAAAAAGGGAACAAAAGGAAAAATACATTGATATGGTTTGGAAGCAGAGAGCAGTGTAGGAGAGTCTTCCTGTGACAGAAATGAAGAAGTCAGAGGAATAAGGAAATTACTTGTCATGAACAATAAGGCCAGGCAAGGAGGGAGGTCAGATCCCCCGTGAGTCAACTAGAGCTTGCATAAGTGTTTCTAAACTTCTCCGTCACTATCTCTGATGGCCATGGTTGACACTGCAATCGATCTCAAGAGTGAAGAGTTTTACTCAGCGTCTCCATCATTCCATTCCCATTCCGATACTAATCTCAGACATTCCTAACCTGACCTCTTTCTTTCCCTGTCCCTGGGACACTGGATTGTCTAAGTACAGTGAAGACTCAAGCATCTGCCCATGCTCTTGATCCATCCACCTTCTCCGTCACTTGACGTCCTGTCTCCAATCCATCCATTCCTCAGTACACCTCATCCCTCTCCTTTCATTCTACTCTGGTCCTTATGTGGGTATAAAGTGGAAAGGAAGAGGTCTTCTTGGGTTTTTCTCCTCAAAGATATTTGATAAAAGCATCTTAGTCTAAGTTTAAGTTATTTTCAAAGCTTTGTTTTGGCTTTGATGCACTCTGAAACCCATGGACAAATCTCCCAACATTAAGATGAATTGAATTTAAACTAGCTGGGCTACTGAGACTCAATTGTTTCTCTTAATCATTAACTTAAGCCAAAGTCCACATGGCTCTTCAATAGAAACCCATGTGTTCTAGCTCTGTGACACTTATTTGTTTTATTTTTATCACCAGAACTCTATTTAAACTAACATTATTTTTTATTAATTAGGCAGTACAGATTTGGAAGTAAATATTTTCATAATAATCCACAGGCAAAAATGCCCAGTAGAAAGGGATTTTTCCATGAGATGAACATACCACATCAAGAAAGTAGGAATCTCCCCCCACCCATTCACACCATGTCAGGTACCAGAGAAAGTTGATAGAAGCAAACATGTAAAGGCACAGCAGAAGCAAAAGACATCCTGGAGTCTGTGATCTCAGGACCTCATATCTACAAAATTCATTCACCAGAGATTTGTCTCCTGGTTGGCTGACACCTTGAACTTCAATTGCCAGAAGTTGATCCTCTAACATGGCTACCGGCCAATGCTCATTCATTGCATCGGGGTCACCATTATTTAAAGAAATGTTTGTGCTTCTTCATCTTATCACAGAAGCTCCAGGATCTTACTGGGTTCTTATTACACTTGTGGTCGCTCCTATGTTTTCCATCAATATTTATCCAAGGATCACGAGGCCTGCAGGGAATAGTCACCTTGATGGCCTGGTGTATAAATACTGTTAGTTTATGCCCCAGGAGAGCTTCTGTTTTATTTCTGTGGTCAGGATGAAAGTGTCTTGTCACTGTTGTAAGAAGCACTGGAGGGTCACATTGACTCTTGATGTCACAGAAAAGCAAGATGGGCTTCATGTGTTGGGTCTCTGCAGTGAACTCCTAAGAAGAATGGAGACGGTGTTAATTGGGCACTCACCTCATACACTGGCAACTAGTATTGGGCTGTCATATTGGACACTCCTTATAAATAACCACTTCTCTGAAGGGAAATCATGGGAGTGGGGACCATGGGTGTTCAGTCACCTGGACCCACCAAATCAAGGGAATGATTGAAAACAGAAATGCTAGCAGTCATCTGATAGTAACAGAGGAAGATGCCTAAATGTTGCCATTCAATAATTTGAATGGACATCAGAATTGCAGTTTCAGTAGGGTCTATCTGCACCACATACCTGGGCTTCCATCTTTACAGAGATGGTAATCATGGG